TAATCACGATCAAAATTGTCCAACTTTTTCGGAAACGTTCAAAGCCTAATGCAAAATTATGCTAATTTGAACATCATATTTTATATAGTATTTAAACGAAAGTAATTATAAACATATAGTGCTTATTTATCTATATATAATATAATAAATGAGTGCCTTTGCGGCACGGTAATCTCTGATCACGTTTTTTCAACTATTGATATATTTGGGCCCCTATATGTAATATTTTTCAAAAATCAGGCCTTTATATGTAATTATTTTTAATTTGGCCCTTATCTGTAATTATTTTCACTTTTCAGGCCCTTATTTGTAAATTCCCCTAATAAATATTACTATTCCGTTTTCATTAAACTAATTTTAAAAAATTTTCAACAAAGTCGACCCAAAATTTAAGGATTTGGTAGATTTTTTTCTATATTTAGCGGATAATGAAGGTTATAACTTTTTTCGAAAATATTTTTGTATTACCTATGCTACTTTCAGTGTGAAATAGCGGCTACAGAATTATTATAGATTGCCCAATATATATATATAAATATATGCTTGTTTCCAAAAATTAATTTTCGTTAACGACTCCATAAGTTGATTCTGTTATTATTGCACCAAAATTTTATTGGTAAAATCATTAATAGGCAAAGCCAGTGAAACTGAAGTAGAAGCTTCGGCAGCTGGTTGAATAAAAAAATTTCTATTAGGTTTTTTTAAGAGGCATAGCAAAGATTTTGAAAAATAAAAAGAGTTCGCTCAAGCATTTAATTCTATAAATTTGTGATCCTTAGCGTTATCATAATAATAATTTAATTAATTGGTTGAGAGCTTGAGAAAACCATTATACAATTTCCAGCTAATTAAAAATTTACCTCCGATCCATTTGAGTGAGGTGTTTGAGAACCCTTAGTCTAGCTTCAAAATATAAATGGTATTAATTTATGACGTAGCTAGTTTATATTTTTATCAAGTTTTTTATGAGTATTGTTGGCATCAGTGTTCTCAAATGACTTTAAATACAAATGACCAATTTTTTCATAAGTAACTAATAATATTGTACATTACAATAAACTTTATACCTAAATTAATTAAATTGATATTTGACCCTTTCAAGCTCAAAGAACTATAGATGCCTTTAAATTATTTATGCAACTTTATTTAAATAAACATAACATAAATTTTATAACTTAAAACTATATTTTATTAGTACATATTCGCTAATTTTGCTTACAGGTTTTATTGGCCGCAGAAACATCTGATTTTTGAAAAATTCATTTCAAAATGCAAACGACCCGGTCATTGAGAAAACTAGTTGGAATCACTTATCGAATATAATTACTAATATATATCTCTCTTTAATTACATAAAGCAATCTACTATATAGTTTTAATATATAAGTTATTAATAATAGTTAATATGGATTATCCAATTTTAAAATTATTCTTATCAACATTATACATATTTATAAAAAGATTATTTAATATAATTTGTAAAGAGTAATTGAGGAATATTATTTAGCTTAAACATAACATATCAAGAAAAAATGATAATGAAATTCATTTAAAAATATGCTTTTTGTCATCCTTACCCCACTACATCTCCCATCACCATTATTAGCTCCAAGCTTAGATACAATTTGTGAAGGAGAATTAATTATAGAAAAGAAAACATTTGCAGTAGAATAATTTGATGTCAATTGCTCATTGAGATTTTTATTCTGCAGCTAATTTTGTTTGTTATTGATTCCTATTTTGTGGTTGATTCTGTAGTTTTATTAACTACTTCATTGTTCATAGTCACTGGTGTAGCGATAACAATTTCCTGAAGGTTCATATTATTTACTATTTTATATTCCTTTACACCTGCTTCACGAATAAATAAAATACAAGCGATAGTACAAAAGATGAATGTTTCAAATACAAGAATAGTAATTACAAAGATAGACATTCCATTAATTATTGAGTCGTGCTTTTTACTTGATATCCAAGTAAAAAATGAAAAAATTCCACAATAAAAAAATAAAGAGCCACAAATACATGACCAAATAAACACACTCGAAGAACTCACAAAAAGTTGTTTTTTACTTCCATCATTCGGTGCAACAATAATATATGTAGTATCTGTGTTAGATTTTGAATCTGTGTCAGATTTTATATCTGTGTTAGATTTTAACTCTGTGTTAGATTTTGACATAACTATTATTTTATGTTGATATGAAAAACAAAACTGTAGTTGTTTTTTTAATCAATATTTAAGACTTTGTATATTTCTTTTTCTAGGAATAATTGTTGGTTTTATATATATTAGAAAAATAATAGCTCGGAGCAGGTGGAGTAATTATTACTTTAAAAAAATTGTATTAGATAACATGTACTTTAAATTTTCTTTTTTGGTTATAAATTAAAGGTAAAGATATACATAATAATGCGCGTTACATGTAATCGTTTTTTTTTTCATTATTTATCCTAATTATTTCATTTTGTTTCCATATTTGAATACATAAAGATTCTTTATTCATTTATTTTTGTCCTGGGCTTAGCATTAGTACGAATTTAAGTCTTTTTAAATTATAAAATAGTTGAATTGCACGTAGCAATAATAGTGAATTCTGTACATTTTGAGGTGAATAATGTACTGATGGCATGTTATTAATAAATATAAATTATGTATATTGCATTTAGTCTCATTGTCTACATTAAGAATCGCCCAAGTCATTTTTTCAAGAGGTGAAAATTAAAAAAATGGCATACCATAAAGTTCTGTAGACAGAGGCAATTTATATTATATCTCGAAGAAAATAACAAGTTGGAGTAAAACATTGAAGACTAGAAAAGTTGAATGAATATATACATGGATACCGTGTATATCTCAGTTGTTACGTTATCAAAAAAATAAAATAAAAATTAAGGGTATTCTTAAGCACTTCGTTCAATGAATTAGAGGTAAATTTTTAATTACCCGAAAATCGATTAAATTAACCAAGTGAACTACCATTTGATGGACAGATCAGCGAAATACAACCCGGCTGTTCTTAAGCATCTAAATAAATTAATAAGATAATAATCGTGATGACGCTCAAGCATCACAATTGATGACGATATTTATAGAATTAAATGCTTGAGCATACTTTTTCTGGAATAACAGTACATTATGGTTTGGTTATACGTTAAAGATTGTTGTAATTATTACGCCCATATTCATGTACCGATTATTTGTTTTAAAAGCTTCGAACATTAAAAATAAAGTGATTATCTTTTTAGACTGCTCAGAAATTTGTTGAGCATCAATTGTTTATAATGTTTAATATGTAAAAAATGTCAAAGTAATGCTTGAGCGAACTTTATCAATGGTAAATTTTTGAAGAAAAGAGGTGGGTTGTATCTCGCTGATTTGTTCATCAAATGGTAACTCACTTGGTTAATTTATTCAATTCCGACTAATTAAAAATTTGCCTCCGATTCATTGAGTGAGGTGCTTGACGCATTACTTTTACATAATAAACAATGATCTCAAACAAATTTCCGAGCTAAAAAAATAGCTACTTTATTTTTAATGCTCGAAGCTTTTAAAGCAAATAATCGATACCTTGATATGAACGTAATAAATGTAACCCATCTCTTAACCTTTAATCAGACTATAATAAATACTATTCAGTTTTTTATTAACCTAAGTTTAAAAATTTTTCAGCAAAGACGACCAAAACTGAAAGATTTGGGTAGATGTTTTTCTATATTTAGCGGATAATGAAGGCTATAACTTTTTTCGAAAATATTTTCGTATTACCTATGCTACTTTCAGTTGTAAATAGTAACTACAGAATTATTATAAATTGCCCATAAAAAAAAAATATATATATTTACTTGTTTCCTTTTTTTTTTTTTTTTTTTTTTTTTTTTTTTTTTTTTCTTTTTTTTTTTTTTATTTTTT